CCCCAAAACCCCAAAACCCCAAAACCCCGAAGCTTTGATTAATACTTAATTCAATGAGTAAAGTTATTGTAAAAATGGATTTGAGATGGAAATATTATAAATTATAATATCTATTTTAATGAAGAATCTAGGTCTATTGTCTGCCTTAGCCCTAATAGGATGCGCTGTGGCTGCTCCTCCAGGAGGTTATCCACTCAGCATCACCGAATACTATAGAGATGCCAAATTGGATCATTTTTCAAGTGGGGGAAACTCTGGAACTTTTAAAATGAGATACCTAGTGGACGCCCAATATTGGAATCCCTAAAGTGGACCAATTCTCTTCTATGCAGGAAATGAGGGTGATATCATGGGTTTCTATCAAAATTCTGGATTCATGACTACAGTACTTGCTCCATAATATGAAGGCTTGATCGTCTTTGGAGAGCACAGATACTTTGGAAAGAGCTTTCCATTCGATAAATCTGTGGCTTTTGATAAAGATCATAATCAGTACCTTACAGTTGAACAAACTATGATGGATTACAATGAACTTATCCATGAAATCAGATATCAGTATGGTGCAATGGATAAACCATGCATAGTATTTGGAGGCTCCTACGGTGGAATGTTGGCTTCATGGCTAAGAATGAAGTTCCCACAAACCTTCTAAGGTGCTTATGCATCATCTGCTCCCATCTTATATTTCCAAGGTACACCAGGCTTTAAAGAGTCAGCCTTCGGAGATGTAATTACTCAAGACTACGCAAAAGCTAATGCCAATTGTCCAAAGATCATTCAAGAAGGATGGGGATATATCAATGCTATCTAAAAGAAATTAGATCCATAAGAATTAACAGATCTCAGTACAATCATGAACACATGTGCTCCTCTAAAGACATCCTCAGACATTGATAACTTGTACAATCATTTAATGAATGGATTCTCTTATATGGCAATGACTGACTATCCTTATGAAACCAGTTTCCTAAACCCAATGCCAGGAAATCCAGTTCAAGTTGCATGCGATTAATTAAAAGATATTGTTTACCCACCTCCTTCTTCAGATTCAGTCAAGGATTCTAAAGGTTTACCAGATAGATAAAAGACTGTACTGTAGGGATTGCTCAATGCTGCAAACATCTACTTTAACTATAAGCCACCTTTCAAATGCACTAATACTAGTGATGTGGATGGTACTGGCTAACTAGATGGCGCTGGTTGGGATGTCCTTGCTTGCAACTAACTTGCTATGCCTACTACCAATGGAGCTAGTTCAATGTTCAATGTAAATGACCCATTTGATTACAAAGCATACTCTGGTAAGATTTAAAGATTCAATTTATCCCATGATTATAGCTGATTGCTTAAAGAAATACGGACTTACTCCTAGATACTAATGGGTGTGGGACTTCTTTGGTGGTTTGAATGTTGATCTTGACTTCCATTCTCACTCTAACATAATCTTTACAAATGGAGATCTAGATCCATGGTACACTGGTGGAGTCACTAATCCAATTAAGAAAAATGACAAGATCACAGTTATTTTCATGACCGGCTCAGCTCATCATCTTGAACTCAGAGCTCCAAATGACTTGGATCCAGTTGATGTTAAAAATGCAAGAACTCAAATTGCTGCCAAAATCAAGGAATGGTGCGATGAATACTTCCCACCTCCTCCAAAGCCCTCTGCTTAACAATTCATCCAATGACTTTTAACTTGAATAGGATGAAATTTATCACGATCTTAATCTTATTAATGAAAACTTAAGAAATTAAATATATATTAATCTATCAATCTTATGATTTTGCCTTCAAATTACTGTCAATTCTCTTATTTATCATATTACAACTCATAATAGTAAAAGTATCCATCATCACTTAATATAATAATCTGATTTTTCAATTTTGCTATTGAGGCAATGAGACCCTTAGCTTCAAGCTCAAACCAAAAGATTTAATTACCTGATTTACCTCCGTATAATTCTAATTAATATTTCCATTCATCATTCTAGGATAGCTTCAAAAAATGTAAACCTCTGTTGAAAGTGAAGATTTACTGAGCTTAATTTAAAGTCTTCATAATAAAGGGCTTGCTTCTTTCTACTTAATCCAAATTTAAGTTGAAGAAATTCATGAATCCATTTGCAAGACAGATTAGCAGAATACCTCCACTTAGACATTAAGCAGCATCAACTTGCTCGGGGAATGCAAAATCTAACAAGATGTTATTCATTTGCTATAATTCTAGTTTTGGCTTTACAAATTTGAAGGTTTTATTTTCACAAGCAATTAAAAGAGAACCAACAAACTTACTGGCTTTTTTGCTTTCATTAAAAACAGTAAGATTAAACTTAATCAAGCCATCTGTTTTAAAGTACTTTGTAAATGAGCTCGTTTCTATAACTTCTATTGAGCCTCCTTTTAAAGCTACTATTAAATATCTATTAAGAGTAGCTTTATGAGACATTAGATGAGTTGCCCTTCCCTCTAAGTCTAAACTAAACTTTAACTTTTAATGCTTGTCTAAATCCAACATATTTTTCATTGTCCATATGTTCAATTGTTCATTTTTAATCCCCACTAACCCAACCAAAAATTTCTTATACTATCCAGTAATCGCTAAGTGAGTCACAATATCATTCTTTAGTTTAAGGAATTTTATGTGCTGCATTTTTAGCAGATCAAATATGATAATATTACCAAGTGATAGTATCTAGCTTGATAATTCATCTTACTCACTAACTCTATTTTTATTTATATTTTCTATTAATTTTCTTGTTACAGATAAAATTAGGTATCTCTTCTAATATTTTACTACAGATAGAACCTGACATTATATAGGCTTTTGCTATTGTTACTTGTCATATTTAGCCAATGGTATTATTCTAATCTTACCTTAGTTTATAACCCCAGTTATTTCCTTGAATTGATAAGATTATTAGTGTCACAGAGTGTTTATTTCAGATAACTTATCAAACTAAGCATATTTTTCAGAGTGCTAATCGTCATATTTGATGTTTTCTCAAAGATTTTTTTTGAATCAAAAGTAGTCATTGTAAGGAGAATAATCAGAATCTAGCTTGGATTTAACTTGCATTTCTTAAATTATCGCTGCTTCATAAGATCAATTGTCCTTATCTTTTTATGAAGAGAATAGATTTTGATTGGTCATTGTCAAAGATTGATCAGGCTTGGATTATTGCTTTATATTATTAGTCTGTCCCATTTCTACTAGATTTTAATTAAATTTACTAATTTATATAATTAAACAAATACTATTAATATTAGCAGTGCAAAGGTAGAATGCAAACTTAAGTTATATCTTTATAATACAGATAATTTGACGGTATACAGGTCCATAATATTAATCAGAAAGAATCTCCTCAGAAATGATGTTGCTATGATTATTGTTTCATCATTATTTTCTTCTCAATATCCCTCTTTACGAGTTCAAGTTCACTCTCTCCTAACTCTTTCAATAGTGCAAGAACAGCACATAGTATATTTTCATTTCGGCCGTCTTAAGCTGGTGCTTAATTCTACTATTATTGTTATTATTGCTAATTATTTGACACATTTATGCTATTAAATCCACTATTGACACTGCAACTGCTTCTTTCATTTAAAGCGCTGCTTGGCCTTACTGAATGTGATTTCTTTATGATCTAGGGCTGTTACTACTGAGATTGAGAGCTTCCTACATGTTGAATATTTTATCTTTGAATTATTGGCTACTATTACTGATTTTAAGAATCGAGAACAATTTTTTTCGGATTAATTTCACCTTTGAAAGGAGATTTGCTTTGGGATTGAAGAACAGATGGTTATTGCTGTGGCTGATGATTCTATATCATATTATTTTACTAGAGAACATTCACTTAAGAAGGCTTTCTTTGCAAATTAGGATCAATTACTCTGCTTGATTGGTTAATGTGATCCATACTCATTAGTTTCGCTTGTTACCTTTCTTCTTAGGTTACCTCAGTGTTATCCAACTTGATCAAGTTAGGTAGAATCTTTATTATATACTGTCTATATGAAGGATGATCCTAGCATGGATTGTGTGATAGCCAAAGTACTCTGAGATTTGACAAATGCTGTAGATATCTCACCTCAGCAAGGTCTGATATTTAGTTTTTGCGTAAATATAATTCTTAGAGTTTCGAGCAATTCTAAAAGTCTCTTAAAGTCGAGATTTTATTCAATGAAAGGGAGACTATTTCAACATTAGGTAAGTCTTGTAGCACAGACAAATCATCAAGATCATTGCCCCAAAGGTTTACATTCTTTATCTATGTAAGCTTTTCAGCTTTGCATTTTTGAAGCAGCATGTCCTTAGTTAAAGCCTTTGTTGACATATTTGAAATTAACGTTTATATATATTTAAATTCAGAATTATGAAATTATTTTACTTCCTATTTCAAATCTTTTATCCTAAAGGGGTTTTGGGGTTTTGGGG